GTGTATTTGAATTGATAGTGTAATAAGATAACAAAATCATAGAATTTAGTATATTAACCCGCTCCTACCCTCATTTTGTGCGTCAGGGGTAGTCAACATGGGCTAGGGGCGCCTGTTTGCTCTGGTTGTTGGACCTCGATTGCTTATCTCTGGTTATAATGCCTAGGTTTTGTTTAAGCACTTTATTTTATTACCACACCATCGAGCTGACACGATCACACTTACAGTTTGCTCGTAAACATTTATAGTTTGTCGAGAAGGAATAATATACTTTGATTCGTTGTTTTTTCTTTTAATTAATTATTATACATATATAATTGACATTTTTTTTAAATTTCAAACAATAATCATTAGAGTTATTGTTGACGACAGAAATTAAAAGTAAATTATCTTAAAATAGAAGATAAAATTATTAAAATATTTCATATGATTTTGTGAAACAAATACATACATAAATTAATATATATACGTATATAAGAAGATACTCCACAGATAATATATAATAATATTGTATGAATTATAACATATATATATATATATATATATATATATATATTTTAGTTCACAGTGAAGTTATCTTGACACGAGTGACGTCTGAGTGTGTGTGTATGAGCGTGTATTCTTGTTACCATTATAGCTGTAACTAATCTTGTAACTCTGATACGACCAAAGTTATTATATATGTATACATATATATAATTAAAAGTTATATTATTTTCAAAAGAAATACAATGTTAAAGGAAATTTTATCAAAAAATGTACCTATAACTAAATGTATTTTTACGAAACGAATGTAAAAGAAAACGAAAATTAATGAATTAATTTAAAGAAGTTAAAAAAAAACTATTATAACAATATTTTCATTTAAGGTATCTTAACAGTATATTTTGTTCAAATCTCGTATAACGAAGACACAAAAAACAACACAATTGGATAGACCACCTCCCTTTTTTAAAGTTGGTTAATAATTTATAATACTAATGTATCGAACCAACGTTAATTATGAAAATTTTTTTTTATCTACTAATTATATAAAAATCCGAAAAACCAGTCTACTGCTTTACATTTTAAATTAACAGTTAATTAATTAATTTAAATTTAAAAAAAATCTTTCAAATATCTGTGATAGTGATGTAACATAAAAAAGGCTGTATAAAAAATAACCATAGCTTAGGTTTCAGAAAAAAATATATTTATTTTTACCACAGAACATAAATCGATAAAATATGAAGCTTTAGTGGCGTCCATTAAACAATACTTTACCCTTTCAACCCTTTGGACGTGTTTCTCCCCAAAAAAACCCTTCATAATCTGTATCCTAAAGCTTCGTTCAAAACTCCATATACTTCGAACAAATTCTACTTAGTTTTTTTGCTTATTTGTATAATAGAACCTGTTTTGTCGATATTACAATACCGCAATTTGGATATAAAAGGAGAAATAGTTAAAAATTACCTAAAAACTTATATAATAGTCTAAACCTTTTATGAGTATAAAACTTAATTAAACTTCATCATCAGTCTATCAGAGCCCACTGCTGAGCCTCTTCTCACATGGAGAAGGTTTGAGCATTAATCACTCTACATTAAAAACTTATAATTTGATTATAAGTCCAGGTTTCCTCACGATAAAATTCCTTCACCAGTCAGTGGTGTCTAAATACTCTTAGAAAGTACATATGATTCGGTAAAAATATTTGTACTCGCCAGGTTTTGGACCCTTCTAATTAAATAATCCTGTTAAACATTTTAAAGAGATAAAAAAATAAAATATGGCCTCACGCCAATTTAAAAAACAGGTTTCGACTCAAATAATAATTAAAGAAGACTAAGTTTAAAATCGCTCCACTTTAAAATGAAATAACTTAATAACTAGCTATTACACGTGGCTTTGTCTGTAATTAAATACGCTTTGAGATACGAGAATCCTTATGAAGTTTAATTCGTTTTTTTCTGACTTGTTGACAGACAGACAAACTTTTATTAATAGTGTTATTAGTATTGTTAATATCATTTATAGTTTTAATCTTATGAAATCTAATGTATATTCTTATACATAAGCATAAAATATATTTAAGTCCGCGTTAATTTCGGAATTAGTAATATATGTATGTATAGCTAACCAGGCGAAATTTATTTCATCCTAGAAGTCATAAATAACCAGATATTAGAATTTATTAAATTTTTTCTGTTTCAATCGAACAGAATTAAATATCCTATGTCCATCTCTTGGTTCTAATCTATCTCTCCACCAATTTTCAACCATATCCCTACAGCCGTTCTTGAGTTATAAATAGTGTATATAACACAATTTTCTTTTATATATATAGGTAAATAACTAATTATAGATATAAATATAGAGTTTAATTAATCATGCCATCCCGCTGAGTTGCTTTTTTGGTCCGTTTTACGAACTCCGTAGTATCCGCCCCAAACTTAATAATGTTTTTTTAGTAGAGAAAATTAGTTTTTTTCCGTTTTTATCCTACCACAAGTTCAGACCGACAAACTAACAGTTGAAACTTTATTTTATATATATTAATATTAAAATTTTAAATAAGACTTATTAATTATTTAAAAAACTGACCGTATTGAGTTTCAAAATGCAGGCTCGTGGTAAAGATACGAATTTTATTAACATACTAATGAATTCAAAGATTTTTGCGTGTATTTATTTAACTAAGGTTTTCTTTAAACCCTTTATTTTTTTTTATATTACGTCGCAGTAAAATTTTGTGTTTTCTATTTAAAAAAAACACGATAATTACAATTTTATACATTTATATTGAGATCTTTTATAACAAACATATGAGGATTAATTTTTCGGTTGTGGTAAAAAAAAAAACAAATTTTTATCTAACACATACTTTTGGTCATTATTTTTATTTCTTTTGCTTATCATTCAATAGTACAAAAATAACATATAAATATATGTAATATGCAATTATGATGTTTTATATGATGCTATTAAAACTATGTATTTATAACTAAAAAAGCATCAGCGATACCAAAAATCTAATTTAACAAGAAATTTCAGTTAAATCAGTTTAGCAGTTATTATATCAGTGAGTATAATACATACACTTAATGAAAGCCTATGAATGTTATATAATTTTATTTTTTAATAAAGAAATTATAATCTATTTATTGAAAGTATCAAAAACCAATCAATATTTGAAAATTAGCTATAAACTGCATCAAATAACAAATAATGAATTCCGTCAAAATAGTTTTACATTTGTGATTTAACACATTATAACTTTTCTTTTGTATATATATTTGCTCATTTAAAATAATATATATATATATATATATATGTAATTCATATACTATTTAATCATTTTTAAGTAAAAATTTATCATCATCATCAGCCTATCAGAGCCCACTGCTGAGCAAAGACCTCTTCTCACATGGAGAAGGTTTGAGCATTAATCACATATATATATATATATATATATATATATATATATATGTGTTAGTAAGTGTATTGCATGCCGATACATAGAAATACTTGAACTCAGATTTCAATAGCACAATGCAATTTCTCATTATGCATCACTGATCAGATATCAGTGTCCAATGATATCTTCGGATCAACAATTTGAAATAACAAAATTCTTAGAAATAAATAAGATATTTTTTCTATATATAATATCTCAATGTCGTAATTCTGACCTATGATTCTATAATTTAAAAATACTTACATTATTCGTGTTAATTTTCGAAAATATATAATGTCATTTATTTCACATACTACAATTAACATAACGACCTTATATTAAATATATAGTTATAATTGTAACAACAAAAAAATCGATAATAAAGTTTGACTGTTACTCTTAGACTTCTATTATACAATGAAGTTTAAAGATAATTATGTATAGCTAAGTCGAAAATGCATTTCATTAACACGATCGTATAAATGGAAGTGATGTTCCAAATGTTTAAGTTATCTTTTATTTATAAATAATATATAACGGATATTGTCGTTGCTTTATGTCGCCGACAATAACAAAACCACTGTCAACACTCAACATCAAAGACAACACAACATGCAGTGAATTACAAACAAAATACATTAATTCAAACCGTATGACCATAAAATACTAAAAATAGCAAAGGACGAAGGAACTCACCGGATAGAAGGAGCAAAACGAATGCGAGACGAAAACACATCTTGAAAAAACAATCCACTTAAACGTTTATAGTCTATTTGATTTTATAATTAATCATTTTTAATTTAAATATTACAAAATTTAAGCATTTCTAAGCAAGCCCGGTAAATAAAACGTTGAGTTTATCCCGACGCGTTCGTCATTGGGCAAATGCAAACTAAAACTTGTGCTTTTCTCTGGGCTCTTGTGAGCTTCAAGAGCAGCTTTTACTCACACTAATACATCCATCCCTTCATGTATACACACACTAACAAACTTTACGAACTCCAGACGGCGGATAGCTTCATTGCATATTTGACAGTTCATTCACACCGTAACGTTCCTTTATACATTATAACTAAACATTATTTTAAAAGACACAATTAATAATAATGTCTTAAAAATATTACACATATTTTTAAAGGGAATTATTTTAATTTGAAAGGTATAAAATAATCAGCGATGAATTTGAAGAGAACTGGAACGTTACTTTAGTACATGTGACAGATAAGAGATGGCGCTTTAATAAATATATTAAATTGTTATTGTAGAATGTAGATGTCACTACTTGTAATAAAATTCTTGAATAAGTATTGAATAATTGGATTATAGGAATCATTGTTTGAAAGCCATTTTGTTAAAAATGTAATTATTCTTTTTAGATTTACCTATTTTACACATGTTCCTTCTGAAATAATATTATCAATAAGAACAATTTAGATTTAGATTTAGGTTTTTAAAGAAAAATTTAATCCAAAGGCTATTAATCAATGATAAACCAATATAAAAGTTGCTTATAACTTATCTCTAACAGGTAAGAAATGTCTTAAATAAAAATGGTATATATTTAAACATTTTTTTTATTTTTAAAGTGGTGCTTAGCAAACGATTGTGCTACAATCAATGGGAATACAAGTGTGGCTTCGGCATATAATTTAACTGGTGTTGCATTAACCCTGATTTTTCCCCATGAAACTGCTTCATCGGGCCTCGCACCGGCATCACTACCGTCAAACTCACTGGCTGTGTTGATATAAACGGCAAAATCAGCACCGTTCCTCATGAGATTTGCGTTACAAATGTGGTGTTTTATAACTCCACCGCCCAAAATTACCATACCAGTGTTATTAGCTTTAACTGCCATTGTGTTTAATCGACGTAGATCACTTAGAATGTCTATTATCAAGCCAGGCTTCTTGTACGAGTGGAAGTACATCATGTCGCCTAAAGATCCATCGGTCAAAGCGGGGCTGAAAATAGGTATATTGTTTTTCCATGCCCAATAACAAACCGAGTCTTCATTATCTATTTTTTCACCTAATCTAGCAATAATTCTAGATGGTGACCACACCACTCCGTGTTTGATCTGTTCATCCAACATTTCATCTAATAAAGGTGTCACCCATTCTTCGAATAAACAATAATTATCATTAGGTACGAGTAAGTTGCCGATTCTATTTATGCCTCGTGTTCGTAATATTTTTCCGCTTAAATTGAAATCTCCTATGTATGTTGGTGCGAGGCATTTTATAAAGTCCTCTTCAACACCGCCCGCTGTGGTTACAATGCAGTCGACAAGTTTGTTCTTAACCAAAAATCGTATTGTATCTCTTAAACCTGACGAAATCATATTGGACGTGTAGCCTAAAAATATAGTGCAATTGGTTTTCTTTTTAATGAAAATATCTTCTTCATATGGATCACAAGTTTCTTCAGTGAGTGGTGTTGATCGACATTTAAGCATTTTATTTATTTCTTCAACAGCTTTACCGAAATTCGTCGCTTGGAAGCCCGAATGAAGATAGCTTTCGAGTATTTTATTGTAATCGGTTCCATTTTCCCAATCAAAACCGGAGACTATTGGAGTTTCTGCGGGCAATTCTTGACTTGGAACTAATACTGCGTTTACCGCTACATCGGGAGCTAACGGTTTTGTCTTCTCAATATTCGACTTTATATCCATTTTTACCTGATTATGTAAAATATTTTAGTTAATCTTCATAATTTCTCACTTAAATATTATATATGAAATAAATATTGACATTTGTCACATTTATTTTGAAGTTGATTTTAGCTCATAAGTCACACTGACAGCTACTTAAGTTTAGAAATTAAAAACATTCTAAAAACGATAAAAAGATTAAGAATCATTTGTATGATTCTTAAACAATTAAAATATACCTACAATTAAATAATATAAAAATTAAAAAAAGTTATGAAGTACGGTAGCAAAGTAATTAGTCACAGACATTATTTTATAATGTTACAGTATTTTATAATTGACAATTGAAATGCTTTTAGTTCATTTTTCTTTTAAACGAAAACTCAAATTAGGAAATAAAAAACCCTTGGTAGAGCTAGCAGACTAAGACGGTTAATAGAATATGTCACATATTCAGCAGAATATTATATTTTAGTATTATAAATATATAATCTTCTATGGTATGTTGATAATAATTAGTTTTGAAGAAACTAGCTTTCTTTATAGTAAAAAAATGTTACATGATTTTTAACTCCCAACACAATAAGAAGGTGAGTTATAAGTTTGACATCGATGTGTTCATGCGTTTTGTGAGTATGTGAGCGCGTGATTTCTTACGCTGGCAATTAGATTAATATATTAATATATTAATATACGCAACATTGTAACAAAATTATATAAAGCATCTCCGCCTACGATAACAACATTTAATGTCCAACTCAGGTTTTTTTAAATTATACATATTTTTTTGTTATCTTATATAATTTAATATCTAGAAAAGTGAAGAGTAGTTTTTTTTCTGAAGTGCTTTAATTTTATTTGTTTATACAGGGTGACTGGTGAATTACTATCAATATTTAAGGAGAATACTCGGTACATGATTCTCATTCGTATTATTTAAAAAAAATAGGTACTTAATTTTTGACCAAATTTCCGTATAAATAAATAAAGTGTGAACACGTTCCAAGTGTTCCAAGTGTGAACGCGTGCGGCGGCGTGCTGATACAACACCACGCCGCCAAACGCGTATGTGTGTGTGTGTGTGTATACCTAATCTGTAGGGTGTTCACACGATGCGTAATTAATTACATAACTTTTGGTTAACTTTACTTAGAAGTTTATTAATATTTATGTTATATTAATTTTTATTTTGTCATATATGATCGTCAAATATCATGTCCTCAAATATCGATAGTAATTCACCAATCACCCTGTATAATAGGATACCGTGTCATTTCCTTAAAATACGAAAACCTTTGTGTGAAACATAGTCTGTCTGTTGTGGCGGTAGGCCCTCGCTGTGGTCAGTTACTACATCTGAACATGGGCTGGCTTGACGCGGAAGTACCACCCTCTCACAGAAGATCGGCGTAAAGCAGTCTTTAGTGGCTGCGTTTCGTCCAACTGATCGACCAACTGATCGACCCACTGATCGACCAACTGGTCGACCAACTGGTCGACCAACTGATCGACCAACTGATCGACCAACTGATCGACCAACTGATCGACCAACTGATCGACCAACTGATCGACCAACTGATCGACCAACTGATCGACCAACTGGTCGACCAACTGATCGACCAACTGATCGACCAACTGATCGACCAACTGATCGACCAACTGATCGACCAACTGATCGACCAACTGATCGACCAACTGATCGACCAACTGATCGACCAACTGATCGACCAACTGATCGACCAACTGGTCGACCAACTGATCGACCAACTGATCGACCAACTGATCGACCAACTGATCGACCAACTGATCGACCAACTGATCGACCAACTGATCGACCAACTGATCGACCAACTGGTCGACCAACTGATCGACCAACTGATCGACCAACTGATCGACCAACTGATCGACCAACTGATCGACCAACTGATCGACCAACTGATCGACCAACTGATCGACCAACTGATCGACCAACTGATCGACCAACTGATCGACCAACTGATCGACCAACTGATCGACCAACTGATCGACCAACTGGTCGACCAACTGATCGACCAACTGATCGACCAACTGATCGACCAACTGATCGACCAACTGATCGACCAACTGATCGACCAACTGATCGACCAACTGATCGACCAACTGATCGACCAACTGATCGACCAACTGATCGACCAACTGATCGACCAACTGATCGACCAACTGATCGACCAACTGATCGACCAACTGATCGACCAACTGATCGACCAACTGATCGACCAACTGATCGACCAACTGATCGACCAACTGATCGACCAACTGATCGACCAACTGATCGACCAACTGATCGACCAACGGATCGACCAACTGGTCGACCAACTGATCGACCAACTGATCGTCTGATATGCTTGGGCGACGATGATTACCACTCATTTTGCCACCTTTCTCATAAAAAGAGATACAAAAGATCAATTTTCTCCCAAAAAAATAATGAATATTTTTCACTGTATAGTCAAACAAACTCTTCAATAATCGAAATTCTTAAAAAAATACTCAGCAAGTTCTGATTCTCAAGTTTGAATTCTCTACTGAAGTGGAGCAATTACTGATTTTGATGGAGTATTTAAAAAAATCCCCGCTTCGTAAAAATCGTACACTTGAAATCAGTGTTTAAACTATTCAATTGTCACTTGTCCACTTACGAGAATTTAAAAAACAATTAGAATTCACACATTTTTTCAATTTTTTACTGTTTTTTTTTAATAATGAAACGGGAGGGAAATAAATTATTTAGATGTTTATTAACTTTTCAGAAACACTATTAAATTTTATTCTTCACCTGCCACTCCGAGATTGCCCTCGAGAACTTTCGTAAGTTATCTATTCTAGTACTCAGTGGATTCAAACAATTTTATTACATTTTTACGATGATTGATGAAAAAAATAATTGTTTTTGTCTGCATATGGACAAATCTATATACGTATACTACGTAAATATTATATACAAATACTATGTAGAAATTAAAATTAATTTATAAAAAACTCTTTAATTCAGTTGAGGTGGCTGGAACAAGGTAAGAAGCTTGTGTTAACAAATCAATCACTGGAAAAAACACAGGTGAGAAATACATTCATGATCAAAAATAAAGAAAATATACTTGTTACTTATAGCCCGAAGAATCCATGACTACAAAAATAATAATTGTTTTGGTAAAGAAACGTTTTTCTTGATTCCAGGAACGCTTAAACGTCTAAAAAGCATACTCTGCTAGATAACATTAAGAAAAATAGAGACTATACATAAGGCGGTACGAATGTAAAATATTTTGATAATAATTGTATAGAAAAAATAGTTTTCGTGATAAATATTTTTACTTAAGTTGCTGATTAATTACAAGACTGTGATATTGACAGCAAATGTAACTAAGACTAGTAAAAACTGGTTAATAAATAAACATGATTAAAAAATAAACACCCTCTCATTTTAGTAGTACTTTCCCAATACGTATAGTTATTGTGCATGTTAATATATATATTATATTATTTCAATATTATAATTATTCTAATCATTTTACTGTATAAGCTCACATGGAATATTTCGCATTTCAATCAGTACATAATCAGTAGTTGTTTAATTTAATAAAATTAAAATCTTTTAGGGTACTTTCAGTTTTTTCTACTGCCGACTGTAGCTAACATAAATAAAAAAATATTTTATAACAATAATTTATCATTGATCAACATTTAGCCAATCTTGCTCCACGATTGTGGCGTTAAGCTTTGGTGGACGATGGAATTAAAGAGACTCGCCAGCTTTTTCCCACCAGCCTTAAGGAGCTCGCTTGGAATTCCGTCATGACAATAATAGGCAACTTTTTATTAAGTATTTTTTTATTTAAACTAAATAAAATTAATGTATAAAAAAGATAGTAGACCTCCGCTACCTTAAAATAGCACTTTTTGAAACATTTCAAAGGCTACTTCCTTATTGAACCTGATTTTAAAGTTCACATTGCTTTCGAGTTTGAAGGAGTGGCGGCTGGAACACATCTTAATAGAGATCTTCCAAAAGATTTCATCATAATTCAGGACGCCAAAGAAAAACAAACCTAATCCTCCCTGTTCAAGATAATGTGGCGATTTTTTTGAAGAATTTGTAGTGTTTTTCGGTAGTTTTAATTTACCAGTGTGTAAGAAACCGCAAAATTCCATATTAAAAGTTGAGAATTACTATTGGTTGCTTTTATCAAGTCTGTTTTTATTGATCAACGATAAGAGAATATTGTAATTTAGGTAAAATCTTATTTGGTGCAGCATGAGATGTAAATCTTTTCTCTGGACTCATTTCATTAAGATGCAGAGAGATTAGAGTGAGTGGTGTGACTTCTAAAAAATGTAAGTCTCTTTAAGGTTAAATTAAAAAAAAATTAATATCCTCGCTGTATTAGTAAATGTAGCAAGTCTGTCATGTCCAACGGCCGGTTTGTTAAAATTGTTATCTTGTCAAATATTCCTTGTATCTCATTTTAAGTGAATGTTAAAATTCTTATGAGAAATAAAGTTTCTTTATACATAAAGCACCTTAATAAGATCATTACTATGAAAACGAAAAAGATATGATGAAAAAAAAATTATAAGGCCATTATTATTTGTCAAAACTTTGTCTTTTTTCTGATGAAACAAACATCTTAACTAACTAAATATGTAGTCCTGCTTTTTTAAATGCGAATCACAGCCAGAAAATCTTATTGCAATTGCAAACAATTTCATCATCATTATCCTATCAGAGCCCACTGCTGAGTCTCTTCTCACATGGAGAAGATTTGAGCATTAATCACCACGCTTGTAAGAAGGGTTGGCGATTTCAAACTTATAATTAGAAATTATAAATCCAGGTTTCCTCACGATGTTTTCCTTCATCTGTCAGTGACGTCTAAATACTCTTAGAAAGTAATTGGAATAAATCACATTGTTAGCTAATCAAGATATATTTATAATTACACACTCGAATCATTTGATATTATATTGAAATAAATGTCCTACTTCTGTTAATAAAATCCCTCTCATTAGCGGTGTCAGAGTTCAACCGCATCTATAATTACGTGATATTATATAATATTATGTAAGTGTTATGTCATTAAAATATAGAACGACATTCCCTTAGACATAACCAGAAATGATTATGTCAATAAAGATAGCATCTATGTCATTATTCAATTAAATATAATAATTATATCTTCATTCCGCCATATATTTTTATATGGCAATTATGACAGATACAAAATTTTTTTTATCTATGAGTGATGACAGATATAAAAAAAAAACAAATAAATTGTGCTCTGAATGTCAAAAATGGCGGTAAAAATGGTTTTTTTCTTTAACCTTATTTCTGATTAATTTGTAATATTTATAATCTTTAAGCCGATTTAAATACTATATATAAAAATAATTTCTAAAAGATCATGCACAAGTCTAGAACACCACCTGGATACATCCAAATAAGTAATTACTTGATCTCAAACATCTTATAACTAGTTTTGACGCGTTAATGGCGTACAACGAAAGTTATTGCGTCACACCTTACATAACAACTCATCAATTACTGCATTCTTTGATCATTTTATATATATAACTGTATGCCTAATCTGAGCTGGTACACTCACACTATAAAAAGTGTTTGTAAGTATTCATAAATCTTGACATTTTATAGTATTAACGTAGGTTTTCATCTCGCCTACCCGTGATCACATTTGCTGAAAGGCACCGAATCGTCGGGTGTATGTACTATGTATTTTAAAATAATTAACGAGTACATTCGAAAATATTAGTTTTATTTAAATGTATACTAGCTCAAGTCATACGAAAAATAGGCTTATTGAAAGATTTGTGAAAAACGGCAAAGGTTTCACAAGTAGAGTGACGGTGGAAAAAATGTTTATTCTGATATTTTTTTTCTTAACTAAAATAAAGATAATTCCACTAGGATATACACCTTAGCATATTTTTTTCGCCTCGCTCATAAAATGCTCTCAGTGCTAAATGAATGAAAATACCTCAGCGTTTCGCTACCAAACTTATTTTTTGGTTACGGATTCTTTTTTCCCGCCTTAAAATTTAAATTACTGGTTAGATCTAATTGTTTTTGATATAAACTACCCAAATAACAGGTCTATAGAACAAAATAACCTCTAGTCGTTCTTACATTCGGTTGTCAAGATCATCTCCTTGGATTAATGATTTGAGTCAACAGTATAGCGTTAATCGCTTAGCTCAATAATTTTAAGATTTTTAATAGTTTTTAATTATGTCCAAGTTATATTTATATATTCTTTTATGCTTTGGCTTCTTTCACATTGAAATTGAAGTACATACTCTATTAAGCACCAAATTCTGAGACTAACAAAAACTTTTTACAGTTTATGTAGACTTATTATTTTTTGTCTCATATTAATAGGGAAATAAACTAATAATAATATTACAAATGTGTGAAACCATAAACAGAAACTAGTATAGGAAAAAATTATAACCACTTAAATACAATTACCAGAAAAATTTATACTCTGTTATAATAATTAATTATTATCTGTTACTTTCTTTTATGTAATTTTCGTCACTAATATTTATTTTTTATCTGGCAACCCTAAATACAGATAATAATTCCAAATAGCTATAAAATTATTTTATGTATTTTTAATCACTAGTGCACGTATAACAAATGCTCATCAACATTTCTGTAATCTTCAATTTCCGTCTTAAAACTCGTCGGTTTGTTGAAAGTTATGTGAACCGAATTATTTTCCCACACAAAAAACATATTTATATTATATGAACACAATTAATCATAATTATATAGCTGAGAGTACGCTGTACATAAAAATTGTATATATATGTATATATTTCCGCCATTTTGAAAACTTTTATACCGTTTTTGTTATTGTTAATAAATTATATGACATGTGTATTCCTTTTTATAGTTCAAAAGAAGATGTAATTTTATTTCATTGTCATAACAAATAAATTGCTTTTCTTGTTAATAAAAGAAATAATCTTCAGTTATCATCTAAACTAAATAAATACAATAAAAATTGGATATAAAATAAATGGATCGATTATTCAAATAAAAAACCTCCTTTTTGAAATACATATTAAAAATATATTTGTTTTACAAGAAAAAAAATTACAGCTTTAAATATAAAATTATAACATTTATTATATGAAAAGAACTCAAATATATTTTATATAGTACATATACCTACTGTAATTTAATTGTCAATATTTATTGGCTGTATGTGTAGTAATTAGCGTTGTTTCCGCTTGTATACATTTTTCTGACATGTTTTTGACGACGGGAAAAAAGTTTTGAATATTTGATTTTGACAGATCCGCTTGCATAAAACTTAGGT